CCAATCTTATTATATTGCTACACGTTATTAACCTGACTAATAAGATACAAATCATACAAAGTTTATCCTTGTATCCAGTTTCGAGAAAATTATTTGGAGAACAGAAGTCACCGGCCTAAAAACCGTAAAGGCGTCCTGTAAAGCTGAACCATTACTTTAACTCCGACACTAATTTTTCGCTCTGACGCACACCTCCTGGTGGCCTCCAACCAAAATAGATATAATCCCGCTTTCGGCTTAAACACTCATCTGCAGGCCAATTTGGTTTTGACGGAAAACTCACCTGATACATAGGGTTGACGGAAACCTGGGGATGTGCCTAATTGATGAGCCCCGAGAAGGGCAAAACCGGTTGTCTGCTCTCGAAAATCTCCCAGCAACCTTGTAAGTAGTGTAACCCTACCTCGTTTTCTGAGATGAGGGGAAGTATTATCATACATTCTTTAAGTCCGTTATAGCCTCACCTGAGTGTAGTTGCTCACCAGGGATATCCTATATGACTTGGAGGCCCTTAGAGCATATTGCCTCATAGGATATATCACTCAGCCCGTGTGTATTGACCCATACAGAATAGATTTAATTTCCCCATAATTTGACTTTGTTCTTTGAGAGCCATTATTCTATCATGTGCTCGAATTAGTGGCTGAATTTGGTAAATCTTTGTAGGTTTGGCAACGTTCTTTTATTATCTTGTATTTCATTAGCAGGAAAACCTCATAAAGCCAACTTTTTGACGTCATAAAATCTTTGGCCAAATTACTGACAGGCTAGCCTTGGTAAATTCACTCAACCTTTCTCGTGGCACGAGATTTTCCGCAGTTCTTCACACGCTTTTAAATTTTTACATTTAGTTTGTTGATCGTTCGCTAACTTTTCACATAAAATGACAATTTATTATGTGTGTGGTACCTACGGCTTTATTCTACAGGCAAACTTTGAGAGCTCTTTGAGAAACCGTTAAAAATATCACTTAATGTCAACAGGTTCTTGTTCACAGTTCAAGATGAAAATATCGAAGCAACTAGGAGCTCTTAGACAGACAAGGCCAATTAAAAAATCACGCGAATCGTTAGATATTGAAAAAAAGCAATTTGTGGTAAACCAGCTTGGGTTTTGAAGCATTCATTAGGTTGACGGTTTCATTTTATGCTGTTTGCTAAGGCAAAAAAATATCGAATGGTATAAAACATGCAAAAATAATCAGTTCAACAGATAAAAGCGGTTGTTAACAAATAAAAAAACCCGGTAACCCTAGTGCGTTTTTCGTTTCGATTGATTAGATATGAGATATGAGTTATGCGCCACTGTTACAGGGTTCATTGTTAGCCAAGGAAAGGGTGTTAGAAAAGGTTAAGTGCATTGCCTATATATATATATACACGTGGACTTCCTCAGTTGAATTCCAAAAGTAATTTCACCACATTGGAATAAATTCATGCAATCAACGGGTAGGTAGAAGTGCGGTGAAAGATATGGGCGAATTTTCATACAGGAAGCTACTCACAAGGCTGCTGAAAACTCTTCGAGAGCCCACGACCGGTTTCGCCCTTCTTGGGGCTCATCAGGTAGGCGCAGTCAACCTTATGATCTACTTGAACCCAAATTGCACTGTTTTCGAGAAATACACTAATTTGCAAATCAGTTTGGTTTTCACGAGAGACTCAACTGGATCCCGTTTCCTTTATGAAAATATACTGCAACATCTCGAATATCGTGCCAATTGCATCATGAGGCGGCCCGTTAGCAGCAAATTCAGTTGTAGAATAACATAAACGAGAGATTCAGCTGTCTCTCGTGAAAACCAAACTGATTTGCAAATTAGTGTATTTCTCGAAGTACGAGTGAATTGTTTAGTTAAGCGAGCGATGCGATTGCATCAGTCTCCATAAGTTCGACATCCGAACTAATATGGTGGCGATTCAGAGAAGCCCCTGAGTTTGTGAATGACACAACTGTAGTAAGGTCAAATAACCGAAGAAACACTGGATGCGCGTTTCTTCGCAACATGAGGATGCGTGATCCTCAGTGAATCGACTGGTAACAGCAGCGATCGTAAAAATATCGCCCACGTGAGTCTAGCTTAACCGGTGAAAAACAATCATTTCTGCTCTACGGAATCCATACTTATGTATATAAGTAGTTATGTAGGTATAAAATCAAAGACGTTGTACTAATGCATAACATGGAGCTATCTGGATGTGAAATACCAAGAAGAGATATACCTAGAAGTGAGTGTTAACCAGCTGGCGTTAAAACACTGGTGGACATCTATGATTTTCTAGTGCCCGGTTAGACCTGTTAAGCGAAAACAATGCGGTGGGGTAATATTCGTTTACAAATTTCAAAAAAACAATGCTGAATCCCAATACCACTGTAGCGGTGATACTACTGACTGTAAGGCATGCGAGTAGTATGTCTTCTCGTAAATCCGCTTTGCGTCTCTTGAAAAGTGATATCTATTTCGGAATTTTTGGAGTCGCTTTGTAGCATTTGCTTGGATTTGAGCAATGAATATGAATATGAATATCCAGGAAATTTCAGGAAGGCACGTTCAATTAGAAATGGATAGTCGATTTTTGTCAACAAGATCAATATGAGATTTTTGCGTCCCTGTCCAATAGTCTATAAACGTTCATTTGGCTCTTTCTAATAGATAACTCCGCAGCGAAGACCTTCTTCCTTCCACCACCAACATAAGATATAATTATGATCACAGAGTAAATCGTGCAATCCGTTTACCAGAATGATTCTGATTGGCTGGTGGATGATGGATTTTATGAGCGTGGAATTATCCGCACATCCAAGCGCACAAGCGAGGAAGCTTGAAGGTCCGGTTGCAACAAACTAAGATATAGCAAGGGATAGGGGTACAAGCTACAAATTGTTCCTCTCTCAGGATGGCATAACTGGGCTAACTGAAATCATCATCATCAAAACATCATTGCAGCTACTCCTCATATTACAAGGCCCTATCAAACTCCCACAAGTCCCAAAGACCAAATCACCTGAATCGTATGAACAAATGCTTCCATTAGCACGAGCTATGGTAAACTAGGACAACCTGTTCGTACTAGCGAAATTCCTCTCACCAAACCACATACGCGAAGAAGAAAATAAGGTCGAGCTTTTCGTTGAATGAAGTACAGAGAACGCTGAACACGTGTAAGGCGGTTGAGCCTAGTAATTTGGATACAAACTATTGGGAGAAAATCTACGCCCCCTGCAACTTCTTGCAACGGTAGTTTTAGGTAGCTAAATCTTTCTTCCGTACGACCTGCAGATCAAAGTTTGTGGTAGAAGAGAAGACGTTTTCTCCCGACAGCGAGGGAGTTGAGAAAGCTGACTCAAAACTGCACAATCCAATGGCTCAACAGTGGGCCGGGATCATGAGTGCATTATACAATATGACCAAAATCCATTTAAAATTCAAGGGTACTGTGTGCCTAGAGATGCATTCGCTGAGTAAAAAGCACCAAAAATCAGACGGCTGTCTCTAACTCCCTGTTTCCTTGTCTTGGACAGTGCCGAGCTGCAAAGCGTGTCGAAATATTACGTTGGTTGCTTCGGTAAAACTATCTCAAGAAAAGGTTTGAGATAGCTGAATCCTATTAAAGAGTAGAAAACTCCACCGTTTGGCAAAGCAAAACAAAAAACAGTGGAGAAGCGCCAACTTTAAACTAGAATCTGTAATTTTACAGCTTTTCTTGACGCGAACGGAAATGACAGCACTGAGAGAGGTGATGTCCCGGACTGGAGCCTCTCCGAACCTCTGATGACTCTCAATAAGAATAAAATAGCTGGGCGGTTTTTCTCGGATATTTGGGAGAGATTCATTCAGTTGGGCAAAATCACCACTCACACATCCTCATACCTTGTCATGCGACCAGCAGTACACTGTTCAATTCTAGCGAAAGCTCATCGCCATTTTAGTGCATCCAACAGCTGGATAGGAATAAATACTGCACAATACGATTTTCTCACAAAGGGACTTCAAGAAATTTCTAGCTACAACATAGCCCATGCATTGGCGCGATCCACTTCAAAACCGACTTGGGGAATTCTCCTCATGCAAGAATGAGGTCGGTATCCACCAGACCCAGAGCAAGTGGTTGTTGAATCAGACAGCGATAGAGAATTTTCGCTTGTCAGTTTTCCCATTTCAGATGTATCACGAAAGATGGGAAAGCAATGGAGACGATCAGCGGCTTTTTATGAACAGCTGCGAATTGAACGCTGAACTCAAAGCCAGTTAAATCAACTGGATGCATTTGTGTTCTCCCTTGTTGCTGTGAAGAACGCCACTTTTATCGACAGGCTTCAACATTCGCCAGACAGGTTGGCATTTGTTCGGTGAGGAATGAATGATTGTCGGAAGAAGATTGAGATGTCTTAACCAACGCAAGTTGGCGATGTCACACGGAAATTTCTGAAGCTTTAGAGAGTCCATACAGAATTGCTTTTCAAAAATAGCTGGTTTCATTGTTCCAAATAAAATATTCGTACCCTAGGGAAAGCTATGTCAGGCTCCGTAATAAGCTACAGAAAAAGCATGTGAGGCTAGCCAAGTTTTCCCTGCTAAAGTGGACAGAGTTGATGAACATTCTTGTTCGACATCAAGGGGAATATGGCAGCAGTATGTAAGCACCAAGCACATCATTATCTATATATGAAGTGATGAGTTTTGGCATCCTATATTCTTATGCGTTTCGTGCATCTTCTATTCGTATGCATGCATGGTTTGTACTGACCAGCGGATAGCAACTTGCGAACAACCGTTAGCCTAATATGACTTGTCCTCAGCGTATATCTAGTATATTGTGATAATTTACTTACGTTTTCTGAAACTTATCCTCCTGGGCCAGAGGAAATCTGGTCCTAAAGAGACAGTCAGTAAAGTGTGATGCACTTTGTGCTGAATCTAATTTGACCTTATGATAATTCCCCCATTCATTTGCCTACTCCGCCTATGTACTTCTGATCTACTTGTATCCGCCACTCACCTTGCCGCAGAGGCCATCCTTTCCTTGTGTATTGACATGTGTGTCTGCGTGTGAGTGCGCGCTGCTGACCTACTTACCCATGTGCGTTCATGAAACGTTTGCTGAGCCTGCCTTGATTTGTCTTCTCATGAGTTCCGTGTGATCGCACGTCCAATGGGAATCACGAGACCGTCGTCGGAAGGAACGTCCGCAACCCACGTTACTGAGCGGTCATTCCGCTCGCCGTCGTTTGGTTTGCGGACGTTGACGCTGCACTGTGCCGGTCAGTGACAGACCTGTGAACTTGTTGCTGCCACGAACGTGAACAATTGAGGTTTGTTGTACACTTTTACTTACCCATGTGTAAATAGTACCGTAGAATTACGAACCCAATTCTTCCTTTTGATATTCGGGATTGTCGAACCTACGCGTCACTCAAAGTTCCGTATCGAGAGCCTCAACACTTAAGGATTAAACAAGTCTCTACAGTCGAACCTAAGTCACCCATTGGAGAGTGGGTCCTGATGACGATACTGACACCCAAACCGGAAAAATTAAGAAGCTTCACAACACGTGGGCGTATTTGCAAGACAACTATTTTATTTGTGGCATACCAGCGTTTCCATGTTCTAGCCGCCCCAAAGCTTCCATGGATAAGCTGAGTGAAGGGCGCTCCAGTTCCCAAAGCATTGGACTATTCCCACACGGCAACTGTGCTGTCCGTTTAACCACGAAAACCGAAATGGTCCCTCTTCGTCGTCGCCTGGAAGATATTACTACCCAACACTGTGCTGGGTATGTACGGTGTCATACTGGAAGGTGCAAAAGTTGGTGGACGAGGCCAGTAGTTCACATTTTAATATGGAACTAATATTCATGTTGTTGGACCCCTAGACCTTAAGCTAGGGGTAGCAACCAACAGGTCTTTGCGAATGCAGCTGCCAGTTTTATTCCTTCGGGTATACGCCGGTTTCACAGGCTTACCAGAAATAGCATATGTGACTTCACACAAGCCCGCTATATTGTCATAAGTATGTGCAATGTCTAGTGGTCCAACCTTGGCTGACACGCAAATTCGTGTCGGACTCCGACCAAGCATGTAGACGAACATAGCTAAACACTCGTCTGATCTGTTTTGTCTACTCGTAAAAGGCGACAAGACACCAGTGAACTCTTCAGCTCCAAAACCAATTTGTTATCTCCATCTAGCCACAGCTACCGCTAAGCATGTATGACCATTAACGTATGGTCGCGTTCTGGTCCGGTAGGAAGTCCATTTTGATGCAACATTTATCTGTCGCTTGCTCAGCCGTCAGAAATTTTGGTAAAATCTGGAAATATGGAATAGAGTTGGCCAACTAAACGTCGATGCATCATGTGGTTACTAGTGAGTGACAATCCAACAAGCATCTTCTCAGGTACATTCGCTGCCAACGGGTAGTGACGGAATGGTAACCCACGTGCTTACAAACCAGTTGAGCTACCCACTGGACTAAAGTTCACTTCAGAACTATTCTTCACATTGCTAATATGCAAGTCATACCTAGCTGAACCATGGGAAATAGACGGATACAACCGATAAAAAGGAATTGACCTTTCTTAAAAAATAGAATAGCCTTCATCAGATCTTGAAAGGAAACTTCCCGGCACACGCAGCATAAACAATAAGGCACTCCTGAAGTCGGCCTGGGACTACCGATCTCCACGTTTCTGGGGGAACTCTTCACTGAGTTAGACCCTCAGAAAGTCACAAGAGGGGCACACGTTTCGTATTTTCATAACCCATTAGAGGAGGATATGGCTAATCAGCTGCGAGGTTCAGGTTTTAAGCCCGTAGAACAATCATGAGTGTAGCACGCTAGTTGAAGTGTCCATCAGATTGGCGGGAGTGCGGCATTTTGCTTTAATTCCTAGGCGTGTCTTACTGCTTATGCCACGTGAATGTGACCTCCTCATTTAAGGAATTGATATTTACCGTCCCACAATGGAAACACAAAAGTTGTTCTGATTCGCATGCGATGCTCACTGCTGATGATTCCCAACGAGCAGGAAACCGGTCCACAGTGCCTCTCGGATTGTAGAGACACATTCTCATTACATGCAAGAAGAAATGTCCGACAAATATTCCCACGTTTCATCAGGCTTTCAGTATATAATCGACCACATCGTTTCTGCTACAGTTGTGAAGACTGTTTTTTCGCTGGCTGAACTGCTGTGAAGCGATGCGATTATTGAACCAAACTATACCCATACTAGCACTGAAGTTTTTCCGTTATTTGGCGAAGAAATGTTTACAAATGACTGCTAAGCGTTGTACAAAGCCACCAGAATCTATTCGTGAAAACGCGCTTCTCAATAATGGGCACTGGTAACTCAAAAAACGAAACAGATCAGCACCACTACTTCCGGATATTTACTCTCGTCCGGGTCAGAAGATACCGCCGGCTTCCTTCACAAAAAAACGAGGGGTTGTTTCGGAAAATTTACACAACCATTCGTCCCACTCGATTACTTCCAGCACAACTGTAGCAGCTTGACCCTTACAAAGTTTATCCCAGAACTTTGCGGCTACAAACTGGGAGAAAGTGGTTGAGGAAAAGACTTTAGGGCGTGCCATCCAGTTTTATCTATCACTGCTCTTTCTGTATTACACTCAGGAAAACCTGAAGTTATCATAATCATATCCGTGAATCGTCACTAAAAACCCAGCGAATAAAAGCGCGTCGGAGAGAACAAGCTGAAAAAAGCGAATATACACTCATTTCCAAACCAATTTGGTTCTTTCGAGAGACTCACCTGTAACACAGATGAATCTCTCGCTTGTGATGTTTTCAGGCAACTGAATGTGCTGCAGCAGGCCGCCTCATGTTTTAGTTGCGACGATATTCGAGGTATCGCGATTCATGTATATCTTTGTAATGTACTGCTCATAAGGTTGCTGAAAATCCGTCGACAGCCCACGACCGGTTTCGCCCTTTTTGGTGCTCATCAGGTAGGCGCGGTCCCCGAGTTTCCGTCGATGGATTTTCAGCAACCTTGTGAGTAGTACCAGTTGAACCCACGACCGGTTTCGCCTTTCTTGGGGCTCATCAGGTAGGCGCAGTCCCCGGGTTCCCGTCGATGGATTTTCAGCAACCTTATGAGTAGTAAATAACAAAGATAAGCTGAAAAAGCTTTATTTGGCGAAATGGGCGCTGCAACTTATTCGTGAATGTGGACGCATATCAGTGTTGTATAAAAATTCATTCTTTAATCCCAGGCCAATAGTATATTGAAGCGGGGTCTGTTACCACCAGAAATTTCCAATGACTTCGTTGTGGTTCGTGGTATACAAACATATCATTTTATTTATGGCGTCCTTGGAATGGAGTTGAAAATATGCGCCTTGCGAAAGTTGCAAACAGATATAGTGTCGAAATAAAGGTTTGATTGGATCACCGGTGACTCACCCACACCAACACGTCCCTCGTTGGTGGAACTCAGCGGGTCAGCGCGAAATCGTACACGCGATTATTAGATTACAGTCTCAAATTCTTAACTATTGACCACGAGTCTACCGATTAGTTTGTACAGCTCACCTTCTCCATCCGGACTTCTACAAGAACGAAGACACCCAAAGGATGCAAATTCGTCCTCATTTCAAAACTGTCAAGTCAAAAGATTGGAATCAGTTCCTCCTCCAGGGTCAATGGTTGTCAAGACAAAATGTTCCTCTTATCCCCTAGTAGTCTGTTAGTTGTTGGATTAGATCACTGGTCTCGAAATTTGAATGAAATAAGTTATATGATGCACTTGGGTTCAGGTTGTTCCGGTGGTTAAAGAGTAAACTTATATACATGACGGCCTTGGTTCGAAACCGACCTCAGCACCTCGACTGTTTCTGCATGAGCTGCTGCCTTCTCACCACTCGGACTTCCTCTGAATGGAGTGGCAGATATGCACCGAAAGGTGATACAGCTGAGCCGTCGTATATCAAGGTACTCATATATTTATTGCACTCACTTTTAATTACAATCTAAACATTCCCCCATCAAAAAGACAATGGACACCTTAATTGTCTCCATAAGAAAAAAATATCTAAAAGAAAAGCTATATATATAACTATATTCAAAGCCCTAAAGTGAAAAGTAGAGGAGAATGGGTGAGAGAGGGGACCCAACGCTAGCCTATGTTAAGCGCTCTGAGGTGCTTACACTTCCAAGGACTCCATCAGAAACCACAGAAAGAAGCTGACAATACAAAAGTCACTGATATCGATCAGCCGCCATTTCTTGAAATGCCAGGCACAGGAGAGCAACTTGGACCACGTCCTAGAATGTGTATTGCACCATCACTACTCATACTCTTTAACGCATTTCTGCAAAGTCATAGGTTGTCCACCTCGCGGTCTCTGTCATTCTGAACGGGGCACCGTCTCGGTAGACGGTGTTTCGGCATGCGTTGCACATAACCGAGCCACCGCAGTTGATGGCGCTGGCTGTTTTTCGCCACTGACGTACATGCTGCACTACCAAATGCCAGGTTTCTAATTACCTTGTTGCTAACACGCTGGCGCCATCCGAAACCAGCCGGACTTCTGAGGCATCGGTGGTCAAAAACCTGAAGAAGTTTTGCACCATCTGTCCTCAGAGGCCATGTCTCGCAACCATACAGCAATACAGCCCTTATTGTGGCCCACATTTCCGTCAGAGCCAATGAAACTCCACTGATTCTCCCTGAATTCTTGTGGGTGTATTTAGAATCTGTACATCCTGAAACATGACTTCGCACTTCGAAGGTGCCGAAAGATGGTATGACTAGTCAGTATTCAACAGGGCTTGTGCCTTACCTTCATCTTCAAAGATAAATGCGACGTCGTCTGCGTATTTTGGATTCACATGGCTCTCACCGTGTGAATCATCATCGTAATCATCTTCATCGACGGCATGACATCAGTGTTCAACTCTAATGCTTTGCTGCCGGTGAGAACAGTGGGATTTTGAAAACCTTCCAGCTTTCACCCGATTATTTCATTGGGGACGAAGTTGAACAAGAATGGAGAGAGTGCACATCATTTTGG